CGCGCGCCGGGCCCCCCCCCCCCCCCAACCCCAAACCTAGGCCCCATGGCACCTGAGTCCTGGGAGAAGACCCACTCCCGGAAGCCGACCAGTACGACGGGGGAGTGCCCCATGTCCGGGAAGGGGCGCTCGTACTTGTTGATGGTCCCTGGATGCGTGCAGTTGGGGGGTGCACGGGTAGGGCACACCAAACTACTGCCGCGCAGGAGAGCTGGGCCTATACTCCAGCGGAGACCGTGTCACCCCTCCCCTCACTCTGTCCCTTTCCCATACACCTCCCCCCCTCCCTCCCCCTTCCAGCCCCCAAACAAAGCTCCTCACCGTGCGGGGTGACGGGGGTCTTGGGCGCCCCGTCGGCCGCGGTGGTCGCGCGCCCCGCCCGCCGCCCCGCCCTGACCGCCGCGGCGGCGGAGGCCTCCAGCTGCGTGTAGCGCGGCGGGTTGAACTCGTCGATCAGGCTGCGCACCTTCAGCGCCTCGGCCAGGTAGTTGTCCTGGTTCATGTCGATGGCCTGCAGCACCTCCCCGAAGCAGAAGATGATGGCCGAGTTCTGGTTCTCGGGCTTGCCCTCCCCCAGGATGACGCCGTGCGTCGTCTCCCGGTTCTGCGGCAACCGGATCCTGTGCGGAGAGAGGGGGGTTGGGGATTGGGGTTGGGATTGGGGGTTGGGCAGGGGTCGCTCGAGGGAGGTTCGAGTGGGAGGGAGGGCGGGGTCGCTCGAGGGAGGGCGAGCGAGCGCCACGCCTGAGGTCACTGCACCCCACGCATCCCCCGCGCCGCTCCCATCGGGGCAAGCACCTGCCTCGGCTTGGCCGGTGCGGCCAGCCTCCCCATTTTCACTTCCCGATCTGCCCCGCAACACAACCTCGGGCCCCAACCCACCCGCCCACCCATGCACCCACCCACCTGTACAGCTCGTGCACGCTTCGCGGGTCGGTGACGACGGTGCCCACGTTGGCGCGCACCAGCACCGCGCACTGGCGCGCCCCGCCCTCCGCCACGGCGCTGTCGATGGTGGCCACGCGCAGGCCCGGGTACTGGTGCATCAGCGTGTCCAGGCCGCGCGCCAGCCAGCGCCCGCGCGCCGCCGAGGCGCGGCGGTTGTCGCCGTAGCGCTGGCTGGCCACCACGTAAGTGAACTTGGAGGAGACCAGGTCCTTGAGCCGCGCCTCGTACGCCACCTCGCTCAGGCGCGGCGGGCGCGGGCTCTCCAGCCGCGCCACCAGCGCCAGCCCGCGCTCGTAGGCCATCATGCCGCGCACCGTGCGCGCCAGCAGCTGGCCACGGTAGGAGGCCCAGAGCAGCAGCTGCACCTGCACCGCGTGGAGCGGGCCCCCGACGTCGAAGTCTGCCGCCGTGATGTGCCTGGGAAGGGGGAGGGGAGGGGGGGTGGGGGTGTCGAGGGAGCGGAAGGTGGTCGCCACGAGGGGGTGGAAGGGGGGTGTCCGGCGGCGGCACCCCGTCTCCAGGCCGCGTGAAGCCAAGGGCAAGGGGCGAGCTCTTCCCCTACAGAGGGCGCGCTGTCCAGCGGCGCGCCGGCACGCTGGGGCTGCGGGGCGGCAGACTCCGCCCGAGCCTCCGTGTCCGTGCCTGAGCCACGATGTGCGCGCCACGCCGCCCCCGCCCCTCCACCCCTCTCGGATCGGCATCCCTGCCAGACCCCTCCAAATCACCATCAATCAGATGCGGGCCCGCCCCGCCCATTTCTTTGGCTCTAGAGTCCAGGCCCGCCCCTCCTTCACGCCCTCGTCCCAAGTCCCCCGGACCCCCCATGATGTGCCTCCCCCTCCTCCATCCCCTCAGCTCCCCACACACGCCCCGCAGCCCTCCGTCCGCCCCCCGCCACC